GCTTGAGAAAATATGAGTTACCAGATAGGATTATTCCCGATACTAATTGACAGTGAATCGTTGCGAGTATCGACCGTGTTATCAGTGGGAGCATTATGGGTGGATAAATGGGGCAAAGATGGGCGGTTAGGGACAGAAGACAAAGGTTGAATAAAAGAGAGGGAACTCTGAGCAGTAACTCAATTTTCAATACCCACCCCACACGATGCAATGGGCAGCGCGGTCGTGATTATCCTGCGCGACGATTGATGCAGTATGGAATTCTTTCTATTCGTGCAGTTCATGGGAGATGTTGGACGGGTACTGCTAGGGTGTCCAGCCACAAAGCAGGAGAACGATTAGGGTCCTCATCCAAAGCCTTTAGTTCTAACAAGAACCTATCCGCAAGGCAGCGGGATGGCTTGGTCGAAGCCCATTTGCTTGGATCAATTATTCTTCCACTGATTTTTCCGATTGAGTTGCCAGCTCAAGTCAACCCCCAACCTGGAGGACCAGGAGATTGGACTTTGTCTGACCTCTACTCATTGACCTGTCAGGTATGATTGCATCTCCGGCTTAAAGAAGCCATCCTGTATAGCTGTTTGGGTCATAGAGGCACGCAAGCCATCACACGTCAAGGTGCAGTCTCGTCGTGTTCTTGAATGAACAGAGTCTATGAAGGTGCCGCGCACCACAGTGTCTGCATGGAGAGGGCGGTTTGGCCGGGCCTCTATGGTTAGATGCAGATGGTTTCTTTGTTGATAGATGTCGTTTTGGAACAGCGACCTCATTGACGACATGTATTGGTTGACCTTGATGTTCGATCATTGCGGCGTCGTGTTTCAAACTAATGAGTCGCTCGCCCTCCTTAACGAGTTCTTCCGATGTAGCATTGGGCTGCTGGTCGATTTTGGTTAAAAGTCGGGTTCGTAAGTCGAAGTGGTTGGCGGACTGAAGGCCGCAAATGAAAACAAGGCATCGAAATTGATCTTCTGTCAGTGATCGGAATTGAAAACTGTTGCAGGCACGACTGACAATCCCAGCATATGCCACGTGATCGTCCACATCCCGCTTAACCAGTTTGAGACAGCGGTAGCGAGTATTGAATAATGAGGATGTGGCACCAAATAATCTGGTCATGTCTGAAAAATACCCATTGCATCATATAGAAGTCTAAATCGGCGAAACAATTGTTTTTCATTAATTCATTCTCAAGCCACTTACAGATTACATAGTAGACATTAGACAAAGGTGGTCCTCTAATCCAGATTCAGAACAAGTATAGACTGCCGATGCTGACCTCATCAGTGGTCGTATACTCTTTCAGATGTATATAATATGATTCGTCATGCAGCTTGAACGCTCAACTCACCATTGAAAACCATGGAAGCACTGTACAGCTGTTTCATCCTTGTTGGGAATCATCAGCAGCGCACATCCACCGAGCCCCCACAGGGACTCGAACCCGGGGTGAACGATTGTGAATCGAACACCTTAACCACAGATGTTTTTGTGACGCATCTTCTGTAGGTCGAACGGCACGACAGCTATCAACTCGGATTAAAGAGCATCATCCGCGCTGGTTGAGTCAAGGACAAACTGGATCGCTAAACATCGCAATCTTAGCGCATTTGGTCGACACTGAACATCAGGTGAATCCGGAAGCTGCTTTCAAAGTTCTTTATCGTGCCCCCCCTCCCCCCCCCCCTTCCCCGAACAAATGCAAAGGTGTTCAGTTGCGCACTCTAGCGATAGCCGAGGCAATCGGAATAAGGAAGTTGACCCCTGACCTGTGCGCCCAAAAGCGTTTGGTCCGGGCACTCCAACTCCCCTGGCCTAAGATTGACCAAGGCTGCATGGATCTACCGTCCAGACGGCGTCAGCTAGATAAACCAGTCACATAATAAGGATAATTTGACTGACAAACCCCTGCCCATGATTGGTGTTTATTCCAAATTTGGTCACAGTTTGAACACTGATCAAAAGTGCGGTCCCGAAGTTGGTCTGAAAGGATGAAACTTGTATAGCGGGCATGTTCTGCAGGTCCAAATTTTCTCAGTGGAAATGGTTGAATCATTATTATTATTACACGTAAATCCAATCGCAGTATGAGACACACCCCATAATCGAAAGACACTGTAAGTGTGGGTTGTGGGGGGACATTCAGGTGAGAACCAGTTTATTGATCCTGCTTCTAAAAAGGGAGGGGTTGCAAGTAGGTGGAAAAGCAGTAAGAGGGAGAGTGTTCCGTACTTTAACAGCCCGGGAAAAAAAGGATTGAAGGACGGAAGTACGACATCTCGTGAATGAAATTTCATAAGGATGACTAGTTGCCTGAGTGCGTGATCATAGGGAAAACAAACAGAACAAAAATACTTTTTTAAGCAAGCCATCAATCCAACTCGAATGTGTCAGGCCTGAGTGAATAATCCATAATCAACAATTTATCGGATTACTCAAGGCGAAACCCCTTTTGCTGATCGAGCAGTCATCTAAAGTCCGACGCAAATCGAGTCAACGGATCAATGATCAATCCGACAAATGTTTTTAGCAACCTAATCAGCCTAAAAAGGCTAGGACCTAACTGGACGCTCGAGTTCGGGAACGTTCGATTTTCGCTTTAAATATCACATAGTAATTTCTGTACGGACGCATTTTTATTTTGGTGAGCTGAATTGTTGTCTTCTGGTTTTCTATAGCGGACCAAAGCGATTGAAGTCGCAAGTTGGAATTGTGTGCGCAGGTTTCCACATAGGCCGTAGAAAAGAACGCGTGGGTCACAACAGTTGTCTTTTCAGGAAACTATTTTTTTCAGCAGGTCGGCACAACACCCTCGCTGAATATATCTGCAAATTGGAAAATCAACTAATTTGCACTATAGTGTGATCTTTATATTCGTTGTCAACCGGTGAACACAGTTGAAACAATAATCTGTGCTACTAGGGATAAATGATAACTCAGTTTATGAATCTCGGAACATCAAACCTACCCATAGAATAGAGACCTTTCGATGCTCTTCATTCTTCTTTGAGTGCATGGGGCTATGGGTTATATCCGCCAAGAGGATCCGGGAACGCAAAACAGAGGGCAGTCAATTTGGTCTTGTTTTACACTCCCGAAGACGCTTCTACCCTGGTGCCGGGTTTACGTCTCATGAGTTAGCTAGTTAAATAGGAAGCTAAGTGAGAAACGTAGAGTAATACCCACATATTTAAACCCTTGTTTCTTACCCAGTTATTATTTTGTATCAGGATTTACAGAAAGAAATCAGTTCTGTGACAGGAAATGGCGAAGTATTCTTATCCTACGAGTTTTCATTGGCCTCTGGGAAGCCATCACTTTCCCTGTTCGGCTCCCAGCCTCTATCCTCTAACTTCATGTACATGTTTATTTCTGTTCAGGACACGATGAATTCTGGTAAGAATACTGAGATATGGGTACATTTTCTCAGACGTAAGTTTTATCTCAATTCGACTACCTTCTGCGTTCAAACACTTTATCAAACCGAGCAACAGGCTGTCGTTATTAGGAATGTGGAAATTAGATGAGGCTCTTCTTCGAAACATTGTACTTTGAACCCTGCCCTGGTTTCTCGCTGCGTTTTTTGCTTGTCGGGCCACTTAGTGTATTGCTGCTCATGGTGAATCTGTCGTCAAGAGTGCCTAAAGCGCAAGAGCTGAGCGTGCACCGCTAGACTCTTTCAACAGCAGCAGAATGCTGCGTCCATGCTTGTATATCGTTCCTTAATGTGCCTCGACCGAATATAGCTCTCTGTAAGCAAAAGGTGAGTTCTGTTGTGATTTCGCAGCGTGCACTCTACGGAGATAAAGTTTGTTTTTGGAGATTTAAATGCAAAATTTAATTTCCTAATCAAAAGGAGAGTCACAAACGAGGTTAAGTTGTTATCGCAAATGTCCTGACTTCACCTATCGGATACGAATTTATCACAGAAAAGTGGTACCGGCTCACAGCGTTCGTTTCAAGTCGATCATATTCCCACGGGTTACCGCTGACATGGGACGATTTAGGACTTTCTTATTCTGGCTAGCATCGGTCAAACTTGATAATGCTTTTTAGGTGCGCCTTCTTGCCAATCAGGTGGACAAATCAGCACCACAGTCGACCAACCTTCACAATCACTACTATCCGATAAACAAAACTTCATTTACCAATTATTATTATCCATCAGGTTGTTGTTGCAATGAGATGCCCAAAACTCAGCGGAAAGTGATATCCAGATCAACGAGATCTTGCTTCTCTTGCTACATAAGGCTTCAAATCGGGACACGCGGGCACAAACTATATATATCTGCATCCTCAGTTGCACTGTTTGGTGTGCCAAAGTTTATTACGCTGGTTGTACAAAATGTCCTAGAAGCCAACTGTTTGATAGCCTGCGTGATTTCCGTGATCAACGATGTGTTGCGAAGTGTGAGGTGAAGAACACCAATTATGGGTAAACGTATCATGAGAGTTAACGATCCACTGAATAGAAATGCTAAATCGATGTATACTTCCGTTTTCATGTTCTCTTGTGCATTATCCTCAGTTCATATTCAGTCGATAATCCTCTTTGGTGAGAAATCTTTGTGTCGAATAAATCATTTCAAGCCCTTTTTGTCATTCTTGGTTCACCACGGTGTTTTGCCACGCGCTTGTGCATAAATTTAGTGGAAGGAGTATACGCATTAGTCTTTAAGGCTGATTGCACTATTAGGGACAACCGGTTTTCGATCGAGGACCCTGTAAGGTTTTGATTGGTCATTTGTAGAAATGAATCCGGGCGACAGTTCATTGCTGTCTTCTATTATGACGTATGGTTTGCATTTTCGGAATCAACGTTATCAGAAATTTTACTCACATTACTAACCTTAGTTAGGAATTCGGTTAGGCTTCCACGTGGTGCTTCTCTTATGAAATATCGATAGTTCATGTCTCATAAAAATCCTGTTTTTGCACCAAAGGTTGTTCATTGTGATGTTGATTGAGTTATTGTTCATCTCCCGCACTCCATCAAACAGCTTGCTCAACACATTTCCGGTCAGTTACTCAGCCGCGTGAGCTGGGAAACACCCATGGGTCTTCCTGTCACACAGCCTTACATTCGGCTATCAGGATCAACATTATACTCCAGTGATGCAGATGACCACCCTGGTGTTCCTGATTTATCATCCAAAGTTACCTTGCCCATACACACAAGAGACTTTTCTCAGTCCATCTCCCAACTGGATGTACCGGTTCCCAATCCGATCAAACAAAAGAACGCATTCCCGCCCAATTTCATTCATTCGCTGGACTCTTGTCACATGATGCTTACCGCACTGCATTGTCTCAAGGCCGGAATCACATTTGCCTCTGTGCATGACTGCTTCTGGACCCACGCAGCGACTGTGGACGTAATGAATGAGGTACGTAAAACATCATTGGGCATATGTACTGTAGAAGGAACATACTTCTTAAATGCCCACTGTACTGCCTAGAATAACAGACAGCCACAACTGAGACTGGGAGTGGGGAGCCAATACTGAGTCTTGCTAAATCGGGCGTGGTAACGATCTGGGTGAAAACGAATTACTGTCAAACAAAAAGGTTGACCGGTGGTAACGTGTTTACGTTCGTTCTCCCCCAGTCCTTCCAGTTACTGATTACCAGATAGAGCATGATGGTTTCTGAATCTTTGTCTCGTGAGCACACTATTCGAACTGCACGGTCTGTCATACAATTTTGGCAGCACTGGTATCTAGTGTTAGCCACAAAACTAAGCAATCTTCTTCTGTTTATCATTTTTTTGCGTAGATCTGCCGAGAAGAGTTTATTGCTCTGCACAGTGAACCAATTTTGCAAAATTTTGCTGATTATCTACGCCAGAGGTTTGCCTACTCTCAGAGGTAAGTGACATCTTTCGATCCACAGGTAAATTTCTGTTTCCCAATTGTTTACACCGTTATTCCAAGTTCAGGTTCTCGCCGTTGTATATAATCCGTTTCGAGATCGTTAATCCATATTTACTCTGTTTATTTTCCGCTAAGGTTCCATTTTTCCGTTCATCGTAGTTATTATGAATGACTTGTTTTGCTTATTGCGCGATGGTGGATACATCCATCTCTTATGGTCATTTTGGTTTTGTGTGTGCCAACTGGGTTGTTTCTAATTACAGTGAGATTGCCAACATGACCTCGGAGACCAGACGGGCCAGAGCAATGGCATTCAATCAGCTTCTGAGTCACGTGCCCAAACAAGGTATGTATGTATCGAATCTCATTTTCATCACCAGTTGTTCACTTAGAGGTACCATGGGTTGCGTTTCATTTTTTGTGCGCGACTTCTTACCATTTTTTCGTTCCGCTGTGGTCACCGTCGATTGCGCACCAGTTTTCAGGAAGTCACATTCTACATACTCTTTCCTAGGTTTGTTCTGCATTTCAAAATAATCTTTTAAATTTCGCTCAGTTAACCTGTTTAATACTTCACAATGATTATCTTTCCAGGTATTTGTCTTCTACATTTGTGTTTCTGTTATCTTTTTGTTTTCGAGAAAAATATTTCCTCTAATATGTGATATTCGCCCATCCCTCTTCCTTACGGTTTGATTATTTGTCATCATTCATTTCGTTATTTCATTCGCTTCAATTCTGTCGTTTTCAGGTTTATTCGATCTCAGCGAGGTGCGTAATTCAACCTATTTCTTCAGCTAGAAAAGCAGACGAATCATGTGGTTGACTCTGTGCCACTTTGTGTCGTATATTACACATTGCCATCCGATGTTTCACCTACTGTCGCCTGTCCCCTGACTAGCGCTTCAAGATAGTTCGTTGTGATTGCCCTTCTTTCGGATCCCATTTTGCTCGCGTGCATGTATATCCACGAGTCTGCTCCTGTTCACACAAATTGTACAGTCTTATTTTATTCCTTCTGATCACATCCTTTGACATTTGACAAGAGGAATATTTTCGTACCACATGTAGTAATACATTTTACACTCGCCTGATTTCAGGCTGTGTGCCAAACAAAGCAGTACAACGGGGGGAGGAAGTGAAAGACAGAGTCAGATTCCACGTTTTGTTTGCGAGCGCAATACTGCCTGGTTGCTCAGGCCAAAGTGAGTGGTTTTCTTAGGGGTCCACAACCGGAGCCTTTAGCTATCCAAGGCTTAACTCCCAAGGCAAGGGGATGAAACATTGGGTCCTTAACCCACTGGGGACTGGGGACTGATTGCTCGGTTCATTCGCCCTTCGGACGAGGCAAAACATCTTGGGTGCCCAGTACACCTCTCCGCCACAGATGCCGGTGAGCATACTGTTGTACGCTTCATACGCCACCTGTGGTTGGTTTGGAATGAGGATTTAGTCATCTCTCCCAGACGGCTTATCAGTCAGTTAACCTAATGGATGGCGCTGGGTATTCGCTTCTGCCCTCTCACTTGTGAAAGCACCTCTGCCGCGAGAATGTGGTGAATAGGACTTTCTCAGCAGAGGCTTTTTGAGACACGGTCATTTGGAAGCATTTCGAGAGGCGTTCAGGGCGAGCGGCTGACTCGGAGTCTGAGACACCCACCCCCGACCATACTGGGGCATTTTGGAGGCCGCTTGTTTGTAATCTCGACATACGCTCCAACAAACTGCAGCTCTGACATGTAGAACGATGAGTTCAGTGAAGTACTCACCACCCTCATTCGCAGGAACAAAAGGCTCTGACACTAGTGCTAGCCGGCGGTGGTCAAACGGTCCCTTTGGTGAGCTTCAGACTGTTCTGTCCCGAGTTCGATTCTGCGCACAGCCACCAGTCAGTTTCCTGAATGGACGATGATCCCCTCCTTGAAATATTGTACTGTTGTTACACGATAAAAAGGAATAAGATGCCCGAGAGCTATCTTGATATTTATAAGGACCTTTGAAGCGTTGAATTATTAGACACCGAAGACAAAGTTGATGAGAATCATATATAAAATTGGATGAAGCACGTGTATAGTCGAAAGAATTGATGGAAATATCGAAGTCGCCTACAAGAAATGATCATTGAAACGGATTGGATTGGTCATCAATAACGAATAATTCACAGGATCCAAACTCATGTAACTGATGGCCAGTATTATCTTTAACCGAAACTTCGAGGATTGAAGGGTTACGTTGGGATTGTTATTGTCAGAAATTTGATTTTATATAAATGATTCAACACCTCCAGTATGCCTTATGAATAAATGTCGCGAATAGTTATTAGTGAAAAACGTGTGGTCGGAAGTGCAAGGGGCTGAAAATTGGATGGCAGGTGGAAGTTGTCGGTCAGACGTTCTGCATGCAAATCGCAAATGGCCTCGCTGGTCACAATTGTGATATTGGGCGATACAAAGTCGGTAGGTTTATGGGGAGTGCTTCAAAAAATAGACGTACAAACATTCCGTTGTTTAACCCGTTAAACTGACCTCAAGTAGGAATTAAAGTATCGAGAAACGCATGGATTTGGAGATAACTTAGAGTTTCTGGAGTAAAAAAAAAACAGAAAACAAACAACGTAGCGAATGCACTGGTTTCCAGTTATTCGTGCTCAAACCCTCACATAACATTAACTGACTTACAAAACAAAAGAGGAGAATGAAGATTCAATCTGCCTCTCCACATGCGTGTGTGCACGTGAAATTAATCACGGTGCGGGATGTTCAAGTGGTTGCACACGTGTTTGTTAGAGAGAAGTGAACCAAAATAGCGTGCAAAAATCGTTTCATAGCCCACAGAGAGGATCATAGACGCTCCAACGGTGACTAGGATGTGACACTTGATTGCCTACCCCGAACAATGTAAATGGTGGGAAAAGCGTTGATCGCCTCCACTGAGTGGTTTGACTTAATACGGTGTGAGAGCACACCATCTGTAATTGAGATACAGAAACTGAAACTATTCAGTGAAGACTAACAGAAGCAGCCAATAGAATATTCTACGCCGCGCAATTACGAATTATGTTCGAGTGCAAACTGGTCGTGGGTTTTCGACTAAAGGATAGAGTGCCGGATTGTGCAACATCTTTTACGGTGTATTCCTTAACCTGTTCCTGTGAAACTAGTTACGTTGGTTTCACGACCAGGCGCACATCCAACGTGAACGTGAAAATCATCCGACTTGGTCGAACGATTAAGACAACGAGTGCTGTGTGTACATACCTTGTGCAGTCAAACCATTCAATTTTGGTGTCATTTACAAAGTTCTGGGCAAGCAACCAAGACTTGTCAAGTGTCGCATTTTAATTGAAGCCGTCTCCACAATCCTCCCCTGTGTGCTCGAAAATAGTTTCTGCAAACACAAACTCCCATGGTCCATTTCCTGTTCCCGAACACGTCTGCTAGCACTCGAACCTTCTTCACTGTGGTCAATTCCACAAACGCGCATATACGGACAGATTTGGACCATGATTCCCCTTTGTCGCTTCGAGTCATATTAAATGCTGTGTATTAGTGTTGGTACGAATAGCCGAAAACGAGCTTCTTTGCCACGCTGATTTGTTCTCAGTGTGTTCTGTGGGATTTTTCGCACACTTGTAATTATGGCAATTGCTCCCGAGTTCAGTCATTCCGGGTGGTGTTCACTCAGGCGTTCTTATCACCTGTAGGTTGACATGCATTTTCGATGACTTTTGTCGTCACACATCACTACGGTCCCGACTCCGAATACTGGCGGCTTTACATATTCTATAGAATGAAAAGCAAAATAGTATTTGGCTTATTGACATTAAATGGGGCACAACTGACGATAGTCAAGCTGACCGGGCCAGTTGTTCTTGTCTTAGAGGACGTTCGATGCAGTAGAGATCTTTGGACACATTAGTCCAGAGCATTAGACTACACAATTCATCTTCCAGGTAGTGAACATGCACTCGCACTGTGGATGCCTCTCTAGCACAATCCAGGGTGTTTTCACGGACGAAAAGTTGGTTGTATGTAGATGCTAACGCTTAAGATAAGATGAGAGCAAATTGTTTGCCCCTTACCACACTTCATCTACACTAGTACCCCATGTACTTAGAAGGAATATATCACCTATGAAATCTGCGTTTAAAGTTAGAATGGAGTCTATAGCCATTACTCAACATTAAATATCGGTCAAGTTCACTAATTTACTTCTCTATCATCCAATTTTCGCGCACACTTTCGCTGCTGTCTTTATTTATTTACTTTGTGGTGGTTGCTTCATTTCGCCTACCAACAAGAATTTGAGTAGTGAGTTGAGAAATTCGACCTCCCCAGGGTGTATACACATTTCTGGTCCACAGTGTACAGACACCTGATCGACCGACTACTGTCATTAACTGCTCGGAGTTCTAGCAAAGATCAGTCCTTCGTGACCTTCCCATTGGTGAACTTACTTTGTCAGCAATTACAAGAATCAGTTGCAAAATAAAAACTCATTCTGGCTCGTAGGATTTCACCCTTTCGACAGTATCAAAATTCACTGGTTGAAAGTGCCGATTTGCAGGAGTCCGGCTTAAGCAAATAATTTGCCAGTGATAGATTTTTGTGTTTTTGTGAGTGCGGTCTGATTTGGCCCCAAAGCGCGGCAACCTTGTGAACGAAGTAGAACGGTGAATCCCAAGTCTCGGAAATGTTGCCTGGTTTTTGTTCCCCAATTTGTCAGAACTAAATTAGATTTAGAGTGGGTCGAGAAAATGGTGCTTCTTGTTTGTCAGAGCCACGAACAACGCCCCGATATAAGGTCGGATTTCAGTCGTGTCTCGTACAGAGGGCATTAGACGAAGCATTGAGGCGGTGTACGGTGCTACTCTTATTTTGCACAATAATAGATTCTGACTTACAATAGTGGTAACGGTATTCAAATACAGGACAACATACTCCACTTCAAGCGCCATGGTCACTTGCCATTAAGACCAACACCGACCTTGAAATGATTGTGGGTTTGCCGCGGTGAGTATCATTTCCTCGTAATTTTCACAGCCCTAATTCAGCTTCCATGGGTCACTGTATGTTTTACCTTATACTAAACAGAAATGGATTTTGGGGAAAGGGACGTGAGCCTGCAAAGAAAGGAAAACCATTGGAGACCAGTTTTTTCTATTAGTGCTATATACTTTTTACCACGATGTTAACATTTTGCTTCTAACTCGCTGAACGCAGCAAGCAGAACAAATGGAATTATTACCAGTAAAGATACAGTTAATACGGTCATACGTGAAGGGTATTGAAACGGATCATTTGGTCACGATGCCTAGTTTTCTTAGCAATCAAGGTGACGGACCATTCGGATCGAACTCTTCAAGCCTAAAACGATCAAACTAACCGATGGACGTCTCGCTGCCTGTGGCTCAGTTATTCTTTTCATCCAACTGATACCAGCGTCTACTGTCTACCCTGGGCAAGTATATTCCCCAACCGCCATTCCGTGTCCAAATCTGGCCGAACTCCTCGTCCAAACAACATTGATGAGATGCCTTTTCTGCCAGACTATTTTATTACACACAAAGTGAATTACAGGAAAGGCTAAAACTCCACATTTGATGTGAATGGTGTTTTATTATATCTGGGTGACAGTACATAATATCCCCGGAAGCACACCCGGTTTCACGGCTGTTGCCACTCATCAGCTTTGCGTACCCGTTGCTGTCCTGCTAGTCATCCCTACACTTGAACACTCCATTCTAGGTTCATCATCTTAATCTCATTTGAATGATGAGGAGCGTGTATGGAAGAAGAATC